AAGTTGTAAATTGGTAAAATAGATTAAATATGTGTTGATGGTTTTTAAATGTATTAAACAAGTGTAACAAATTATACGAAAATTACACACATTTTATATTTTATATTGAGATGTTATCTATGTATCATATAAGATGTGTTATAAACCGTTACATGGGCAGGATATATTATTGTGTAATTAATTTATTGCTATTTTTCCCCACTTTAGGACTAATTTTTTTTGTAACTTGACTCTAAACCTGGTATCTTAAGTATTTTTCTCAGAAATACTATCCCTTCCCCCAGACTTTTAAATGTTTATATCCTTTCTAAAGTACTAAAGTCTGATTTGAAAGTTATATAAAATAATGCAGTTTCAAAATGCATTTTAGTGGTAAACAGGTTTAATAAACCTAAACATTTACATTTAAAGGCCCACATAAAATTAATGCTTTTGAAGTTTAAAATAAATTTTAAAAAAATCTAATTGTAAGGAATCATATGGAATAACAATTTAATTAAATGCATTACACATGCATTATACATTATTTTAGAACTGTAGACGTAACATAACGCGCCCAGCAGGTGGTGCTGTTGCGTATATTGATATCAACAACCATGCATCCATTCAATCAGACTAAAAGCTAATCGTTTAATCCCTGCTGCTTGCAAATAAATTAATAAATTTTTAATAAAAAAATTTAAAAAATAGTACAGACCCAAACCAGATGTTCCAATCTCTTTGCAAATCAAGCAATACCATGGCCACATTTTAAGAGAATGGGAAAGTACTGTTGTATGAGAGAAAAATACATTGAGAGAGAGAGTTGTAACTATTCATTTTGTTGCTCACATTTACTGTACAAGTCACAAGACAAACTACAACTTTTAAGAATACTACAGAGACTTGAGAAATACTGCACGTAAAGTTGCAAAATAATAAGAGTAAGACAGAGGAAATAGGATGACACTGAAATATGTGATGCTTCCTTTTCCTCTAAAATAGCCTAGTTGCTATTTTCAAGATTCAAGAGAGCTATTCTACATGTCCTCTTACATAACTCTTGCAGTACTGTTTACCAGGTTAAAACAGCTATAGTTATCCATTATCTTTGCCCTGCCTTTCACCCATTCTCACCTATACCACACCTCAAATGATCCCATGATTTCCCTCTTTTACAAACAGGATATCATTACTCCAGTATTCAGAGTCTTGTAGTCTAAACCGACCGCCTGCAGTTCATGTTTTTAGTGGAGATCTTTCATTCAGTCTGTCATTTCTCTGTGCTCTTATGCTGACCATCTGTTGTTTTTAGTGATCACAGCACGCTTTATGCAGGCAAGACAACTAAAATCATTAAACTGTCATCATAAAAAGTCAGTTTTATGTAACCCACTAAATGCTATGCTGACAGAGATCTGTGTCTTTACCCAAATTTAGATCATACTGTGCTCTGGGATGCCAAGGCCACTCTTTCCTGTTGATGCCCAGAAATCATGAATGTCTCAACTAATGTCACACAGGTCAGAGGATGTGTGTCTCTGTCATTTCCCCTCCAACAAGCTATATTTTACAGACTCATTCATTTACATTCACATTTTCTTGGAATTAAATACTTAAACGCATTCAAGACCGACAATGTGTTATTTTGTAAACAGATTTATTATTAAAAGGAACTCCCCAGCAAACACGAATATTCCCCTAACGTTAGCATATAGTTTTAGAATTAAGAATTAATTAATTCTAAAAAAGATAGATAGATAGATCACCACCTGTCTGTCAAGCCATTATTTGTTACATCCAAACCCACATACCCTCTCCTTTCCCCCCAAAATGATATTTCCTTTAACCTGTCATCATCAAAATACAAAGGAAAGTTACTCTTTTTTTAGAAGCATGTGGCATAACGTGTATCTGATTCAAGCGTGTGCAGGGGAAACAGAGTGGGCTCCTCTGGTGTTTATCCTGGGAATGTCGAGGACAGGATGCTGAAGCCTAGAGGAAGCCCTGACGGCAGACTCTCAGTGCTCAGAGCAGCTCAGCGTCAGGAATCTTTAATTATAGTGCACATCTGGCTGTGAGACGAGCCCTGGACAGCTTCACACATCTATAATAACTTCCATTGACTCTCTATTTGGCGACAGGTAAATTCTACTACAGCACTAAACAGCCTGGTTTACTTAATCTTCCTTTGTTTGTATCTTGTTGTTTATGAATATCGTCCCTCTTTCTCCTGTATCCAGCAGAGCAGAAGCACCAGTGAGGGTTGAAGCGCCCCTCACACAGAGTGAGGAAGGACACACGAACACAGTCAAAGAGACACGACATGATGGAGCTGAAGATCCAGCTGATTCCCACAGGAGAAATCATACTGCCTCCAGGGAAAAATGGAGAGTTTTACTGCCAAAGCTGCACTAAGGTAAGTCCCTTTAGATAAAGCTTCTGTTAAATGAATGCATGTGAATGTACGAATAGTCTTCTTTGCTGTATCAGAAAAAGATTCCAAACTAATTTGCATAGCTAAATAAAGACAACTGCACCCAGCAATTTCTTAACAAATTACTTTTTGTGATAGCTGTCAGGATATTTTAGGTTCAACAAAGCGTAGATTTGCATGCCCTGAAACCGAGACTCATTAGAATTTTCCATGCTGTAAGCATGATTGTCAGCACATGCCTGTTTATAATAAAGCAACCACAAGTGATAGTATAATGAATATGTGTGGTGTTGATTATGGTTTAGATTATGATTAAGCTTTTGAATGAATACCAGACTACAGTTTTGTTTTCTGCAATACTTGATACACTGATCCATTTCAGAACTGTATGATAAATTATAGAAAGCAGTTGCAGTACATAGATGGCTTTTGATATGGAATATATGGTCAATATATTGTATCTGTGAGAAGCTTTTATTTGATTTTGAGGAATGGGTCTGGATTACTCCATTTAATAATAATACAGTCCAAGGAATGTGGGTGTACACTAAACTCTGTCTGTGTGCAAGGAAAATTACCATTAACTCTGACAGATGTTTGAATGTTTCTTATGGACGGCATAAATGTTTCTAGTTTGTTTGGCAAAAAGGAAAATAGCGCACACCCCTTTAACTCAAATATGCACTCTTTTTTTCTTCGTCTGTTCTCTGTGACTTGTTTTGTTCTGTTTGAAGAACTTTCTTCATGGTTCATTAAGTCTAGTGTAATACTGGAATCTAGCTGATAAGAATCTGCATATTTTGTTAACCAAAAGCTTTTCTAGTTTGTGAACCACTTGAGTTTAGTGTCCATTTATTAGTGGTTGGAATGGAATGCTACCTGGATGAGGAAATGACACAGGAAATTCCGGAAAAGCATACTTTTCCTGATTTTCTGGCAAGATCATGTCACCCTTTCTGGGTGTGTTTGAGTTTGAGTGAGTTTGAGATGGAAAAAGAGAGGGAGGTGCATTAATAAGAAAGAAAAACGCGGTACTATTATTAATTAACTGATAAAACCAGGAACAATAACTTTAATACCCATTTCCACTCAACTGGTGACAGGAGACATGGACACACCCTTTAGTACAGCCTGTCTGTCCAACATTGCCTTGTCAACAGGATACAACCTTTCCTCTCCGTTCAGCTGGTGCTTAATGTGCTCAATGTGGGTTTGTTGAATGTTGAAGAGCATAAGGGCAGAATCGATCACTCCACCCTCTGGCTACTGCATGACACTGCACTTCACATGGATAATCAGGGGTGAGGTCAATTTGACAGGGGGGATTTTGTTTCAGCAGTTTATTGATACAGTGAAGTGTTTAGACATGGCTTTCCTTTCACAGGGCATGCGTTATCCAGTGTGTGTGGAGTGAAAGAAAAAAGATGCTCAGAATGAATGGCTGTGATTCTGTGAATATGAGTCACATTGGCTGCTTAATAACATTATACATTTTGGTCCAGTCAAATAATATCTGAAAGAATAGTTGATTTGACCACAATAATGTCAGTGGTAAATCTTTGTTTTAGAGTTTAAACATTTAAAGTTTACTGATTAATTTGCTTGTCATTGCATCATATTAGGGGCCTTCAACAGGGGATTTCAGCTCCTAAGGGGTCAGTGTCAGTATATAAAAAAAAATAAAAAATTCAGTTAAATGTTTTATTGCCCTCAATCATTAAAATGCATTAAGTAAAATTAAAATGATTAAGTATATGACTCTACCTAATAATAATAATGATTATTTCAATGGCTTAGCAATCTTGAAAAGTGCATTAATACATTAATGTAAATGCATTCATATGGCATGTTATTATAGGCCAGATTTATAGGCCATACAGTATGTAACACTGCTTCATAATCTCTCCAGATTATTATAGTGAATTAAAACTAAAACTATTAAAAATCATTACTTGAAGTCCAGTTAACTTATTTTCTTCATTTTCATTTAGTTTAGCTTGATGTAGCCTAAAATAACTAAAACTAAATCTATAATATCATATATAATATGGACATAAAAAACTAATAAAATGACAAAAAAAGAATTTTAAAAAATGTAATAAAACTTTAACTAAAATTGAAATGAAATGGGCCCTGGTGTATATCTTCTGTCTCTGAATTGTCAATAGAGGGCGATATAACGCTAGCGTGCTTTCGAGTAACGCCTAACTACCTTATCTAAAATGCCACATGTAAGCAATCATACCGCAAGATTGATATATTTGTCACAATAGTTATTTTAATCTAAAATTTCATATAGAACGAGTATATCCGTTCTGAATGACCACGTATATGCTTATGTGAGGAAAGTAAGCAGTGCTGTTGTTTCTGCTTTAAACTAAAACAAATCATCTAATGAATGAAATAGGCTCGTTTTCATCAAAACGTACCCTACATGTTCATTACACGGTCTTAATTTTATTGTGATGAAGCGAAAGTTCACATGTGATATACATGTGATTTTATTAGTCGTGGGATTGCTCGGGAACTTCCTGGTACAGCGCTCTTGAGAGAGAGAGAGAGAGAGAGAGAGAGCGAGAGAGAGAGAGAGAGAGAGAGAAAGAGAGAACACCCGCTTCAAACCATTGTTGAGAGAGAGACTGCTAACACCCGCTTCAAACCATTGTTGAGAGAGAGACTGCTAACACCCGCTTCAAACCATTGTTGAGAGAGAGACTGCTAACACCCGCTTCAAACCATTGTTGAGAGAGAGACTGCTATCACCCGCTTCAAACCATTGTTGAGAGAGAGACTGCTAACACCCGCTTCAAACCATTGTTCCATGGCACAGTACTCGCATTACTATCTGATTTTATTTATCTCCAGCAGTCATTTTTACTACATCTGCTTAAGTGACCTTAAGCGACTTTTCAGTGTCCCACTGAGGTAAATATTGTCGTCGGTGGGATTCACACAGGAGGGAAAGGTCCAGATTACAACTCAAGTTTGAGAACAAGTTTCCCATCACTGCTGGGTTTCTCTTATGTAGTGTTACATTGAGCGACCGGTGCTTTTGGACGTTGCAGGATTTGAAGTTTGCGTGCTTTAATCAAGGTAAGTGCTTGACACGCCATTCATTTCAGTTAGAATCATAGCACAAAGTCAGTTTACGCTTCATGACATGTGAGTTTTGAATTCACATTCGGATTGTCAAGATAATGTTTCGTTAAGATTGGTTTCTTGCGTATTTGAGATGTCCGGTTGATGAACGAGTCGGATCTTTTCAATGAATTTGTTGAACCACAAAACCGGACTGAACGATTCCTTCGAGAATCAGAGCAGTTCTCTCTCGGATAAGCATTGATGGTAAGAGCATTTGAACCGAGTAATAAACGATGGCTATATAGCCAAAATAAAACATAAAATGAATAATCTCAATAAATAATCATTTTGAAGCGTTTTTTGTAACAAACTGTTGGAAAGAACTGATTCGCGGAAAAGAGTCAGACTTTCCAACACTTCTTGCTCATAGGTTAGTGAGTTTTCTAGATAGACAGCATTTTTGGGCGTCATAGGCGTGTGGTAGCTCACTAGGGTTTAATGCACACACAGCAACTGTCATGTGTTTATATGACCACATGGATCTCACCTGTTATTTTACTCCATGTTATTTATGAAAATACTACCCTGACCTGTTCAGATCTTGATTCAAATGCATGAGGGTTATATAAACAAACCCCCATCTCCAAAGCTTAAAAGTGCAAAACTATGGACATGCAATGAGCTCCATTTGTTAGGGAGTGATTCGGGTGGCTTCAGACCACATTTTATCCAGGACTCCTCAGGATGGAATGACAAGGGGAGTTAAAGGAGACCAGCTGTTGATTATCTGTCATTCCAAACTAACCTCCCTCAATCCAATTACATTAGAAATTCCACTGGGAATATACTATCAGCATCACCCTGAGAGGCCAAGCTTGAAAAATGGTGTTGAATGTGTTATTTTTACTACACTGTCTGAGTCAGGGCACATATAAGGGGATGCTTCTTTCACCTGTGCTGCCAGCTGAGCAGCACAGCGCTGATGACATCTTAAGGTCGTTGTCAGGTCATGTCCTCAAGTGTCCTCGCTCACATCCCCCCTTGTGTATTATTCCTTTTTCCATGTGTTACAAAACCTAATGAAGATGCGCCTGTCAAATGAAATGGATTGCTTACAGTGGGAGATCTGTTTTATTCTGCAACACTGCATGGATGGTGTATCTAGTATAATTGACAACAATTAGAAGCTGACAGTTGCTTCGGCTTCTGTGAACGGATGAATAATGCTATAACTGTCATGCTTATGGTGTTTGTGCTGTGTGTTTTCCAACAACAGTGTTGTCATACAGTTCTTGGAAAATAACTGTGTGTTTTTCATTTAGAATGGTAGTGTTACAAAATACTAATCTTGTTAAGACATCCCTGCAAAACTGATTAAATTAATAGTTCACCCCAAAATTAAAATTTGCTGAAATTTTACTCCCTCAGGCCATCCAAGATGTTGATGAGTTTGTCTCTTAATCAGAACAGTTACATATTAGCATTACATTTCTTGCTCGCCAGTGGACCCTCTGCAGTGAATGGGTGCTGTCAAAGTGAGAGTTGATATCACTTGTGGATTATTGTGAAGTTTTATGCACAGATCAAGCAAGCAACTTGAATTTTGGCCAGAAGTGACTGTCTGAAGTTAAAATGCCTTAATGATAGATTTTTTTTCTTACAAACACAGCTTTTCATTTCACAAGACATTAATTGATGGACTGGAGTCGTGTGGATTGCTTGTAGATTATTGTGATGTTTTTATCAGCTGTTTGGGCTCTCATTCTGATGGCACCCATTCACTGCAGAGGATCCACTGATGAGCAAGTGATGTAATGCTAAATTTCTCCAAATCTGTTACATCTGAGTACATTAAGTAAATTTAATTTTTTGGGTAAACTGTTTCTCAGGGTTGTAATTTATACAGTGTCGACTGTGACAAAGGGAGGTACTTTGGGATAGAGCATATTTTCAGAGCAGTGGGATTCTGGTTTTTGGTCAGAGGCCGGGAGACTTTGTACTTGAGCTATTTTCCAGCTGTCCCAAGACAATTAACTTTCTACGTCTGTCAGCAGTGAGCAATACAAGTGTGCCGTGTGTGTTCACTTTTCCATCGTGCAGCTAACTTTGTGTTAGACAAAAAACATTTGCTGTATCGACTGTTGAGACTTCTTGTTTAGTCTGTTTCTTTATCTTCCAATTATTCTCCATTCATCGTGTTAATGAAGATGGTGAGATTGCGGAGGAATATTTGGTTTAGAGCGGGAGGACTGGGGACATATGTGGCTGTGCAAACCCAGCCCTTCCCTCATTGCTGGTCTGTCAACCAGCCAGCTGTCAACGTGTCCCAGAGAGATCTCAGAGGGGATACACCTGTGTCTGAAGCACTCAGAACAGGAAGTTCTCAGTGGTAACCAACCACATAAACGTGTCTCACTCTACCCTGCATTAAGCTGAAGTTACTTTCTGCGCTTGTTTGCGTGTCAATTTTTATTGTAGCAGCTGCTACATTACAGGTCATTTTATATGAACTTAACCCTGTTTACTTTGTAATGCATGTTACTGAACGATTCATTTGTCTTTGTAATCTTTCGTCAAAATATTCAAGCTCTTCAGGTCCCACACTGCTTTTTGTTCTCGTTGAATATCCTGTTACGTCACTTTGCTGGGTTGCGAACGCCTTTCATGTTTGCTTTAAACATTTAGTTTGAGTCTTTCTTCAGTAGATAAAAGCGTTTGTGTAGTTGTGGTTTGACATGTTTGCATAGAGGAACAGAGTATGAGTGGCAGTAGCCTTGATAGCTTATTTGTTTACAGAATGAACAGCCTAGCAGGTTTTAATCTAGGTTTTAGTGTGAGAACTAGATGGAGGTGGAGGGAGCAGAGGGTAAGAGAGACTGTAAACGTCTTGATGCCCTGTGGTGAGTCATGAGCTCATTGTAGGATCTGCAGTTTTTCTTAATTTAGCTGTGGCTTTTCCACTTTAAATTTCCCACTGAGGGCCCTGCCCTTGGACTCCGCTTTGCTCCATATCAGGGAAAAATTGCAAAGGCAAGACCAAAGCCTTTTATCTACAGCTCTAAAACTTTACTGGATGGCTCATTTGAATGGTATTTCAAGATTCTTATTTATAATGTTCATTAAAAAGTATACTATGACTCTATTATGGCTCAGGTACTTGGATGTACAGTGGCCCCAAAATACACTATATGGACAAAAGTATTGGGACACCCCCTTCTTTAGAACCGAAAAAGACACTTCCAAAACTGTGTCAACAAAGATGGAAACATAATTCATGTATTTAAAAATTGCATTTACATCTCTGTTTTGGAAGTGTCTAAAATGACTGTAGCCATATGTATCCATAAGTCATTGGTGTTTAGTAGGGGTGTGACGAGACACTTATCCCACGAGACGAGACGAGACACGAGACTGGGTTCATGAGAACGAGACGAGACGATATTTTTAGAATTTTTTAAAACAGAGACAGGCAGAACATGCAGGATTCATATTTAAATCGACTTTTGCGGCTTAATATTTACAGATACTAGTCCATATCGTGATTTGATTTAAGTGTAATGACCTACTTTTGATTAATTCGTTCAAAATTTGACAAATTCCATGACATTCCGCGTTAAAATGTGAATTCTGTTTTTATGACTGGATAAAGACTACACTGCGTAATTTTCCCGCTTATGCGGCCACTTGCCTGATGTGAACACAAAATATCTTACATACCACCACTTGTGAACGAGCCAGTGTAGTGCAAATATATCTGAAAGGTCTGCGCGAGGATATCGTCACGTTCTCGCGAGACCCAAAAACTGTGGCAACAAAGATGGAAACATAATTCATGTATTTAAAAATTGTATTTCCATCTCTGTTTCAACAGTTTTGAAAGTGTCTAAAATGAATGTACCCATGTACAAGTGATTGGTGATGAGTCTTTGGCTCAAGGTCTGCATTTAGTTACACCAGAGGTGTTCAGCTGGGATTAGGACTTAACTTTCTGCAGACCAGTCAAGTTCTTCCACACTGACTCAATCAATCATTTATTTTTTTAACCTTGCCTTATACACAGAGGCATTGTCATGTTAGAATAGAAAAGGGTCCTGTCCACACTTTTGCTATAAAATTAGAAGCACACAATTGCCTAGAATATAATTATATGCTTACTCATGGAAATTACTAAAGTAGTCAAATCTGTTCATCAGAAGGGGTGTCCCTATACTTTTGGCAATATAGTGTATTTTAACACTTAAACTGAAAAGTTTAGGGTCAGTGAGATTTTTTTATAAGAAATTAATAGTTTTATTCAGCCTTGGTTGATTAAAAAGTGACAGAAATATTTTGGAAAATTATAAACCCCTTATTTCAAATAAATGCGGTTATTTTGATTTTTTTTAATATTTATTAAAGCATCATGAAAGATATGTGTCATGTCATGGAGACTGAAGTAATCATCTTTGCCATCACAGAAATAAATTACATTTTCAAATACTTGAATACAATAAAAATATAATAACATTTTACAATATTACTGTTTTACTGTATTTTTGATCAAATAATAGATGCAGCCTTGGTGAGCATAAGAAACTTATTTCAAAATCAACCACAAACCTTTGAATGTTAGTGTGTCACATCGAAAAATGTCAGATTTCTTAGATACAAATTGTTAAACCAAGTGGCATCAAATTATGCCGAAGCTTTTTTAGCTTCACTTTTCTGATACACTTTTAAAATATATATATTTTTAACTGGTCTTCACAAAGTTTGACAACCAGAAAATGTCCAAGGCTGTTTTGTCTTTATTTTGAACAATATATCTGTTCCTTGATGTTGTAAAACCTAAACTTTATTCTGTGAAATGTATTGACTGAAAAGTGTGCATGTGCTTTTTTTTTTTATTAATGGTGCTTGTTTTTATATTTTGTTAAATAATATAAATTAATTATACATTAAAAGTGTCCAAAAGTGGCCACTGTGTATCATGATAATAATGATTACCATATTCACATACAGTCATACTTTAA